GACTTGGCAAATCAGTGATAGTTTTGCCGGTGAAGCAACCGTCTAAAGAAAACTGCTGAACTCTGTTATTGTTCCTATCACATACAAGAAGATTATTGCAGCTGTCAAGAGAAATGCCATATGGACTTTTCAACTGTCCGTCTTCACTCCCCTGTATCCCAAACTTGTACAAAAAAGTTCCTGACTGATCGAAAACTTTACTGCAGTTATTACCGGTATCAGAAACAAGAAACCTGTTTCTGTAAGCAATGCAGCTAATTGGCTTGTTGAGTTTCTCAGCACCGCTGTCTCCAAACATGACGATCGTCTGACCCTCTTGTGTTATGACCTTTATCCTATGATTGTCGTACTCCGTTACAACAATGCATCCTTTATCATCTCAACATACATCAATTGGGCAATGAAACTGTCCACGTTTTCCAAAATTGTTAAGAATAGTTCCTGTCTGGATGTTTAAGTGCTGTATTTTACAGTTCAGTTGATCTGCAACAAGAACCACGTTGTCCTTTAAATATGAAACGCCAGATGGTAGGTTAAATACTCCAGACTTTGCTCCTTTGGAACGACCGATTTTCCTTACACAGACACCTTTGTTGTTGAATACATAAATACAGCTTGCACTCTTATCTGTCACCGTTATGTTGCCTTCTGTGTTAACAGCGATTCCAAACAATCTGTGAGGCACGTCTCTGTGAGGAAACTTTAAGACCAACTCACCCACTACAGCAAGTTCACGTTCTTTCACCAGCACAGTTAGGGGACAGGTCGAAAGTTTTTCGTTATTGATTTTCACATCAATACTGTAGTCGCCCGGTACATTGGGTGTAAATTTTAAGCCCAAATTACCGTCCTCTTTCTCGCTAATAATCACATTTGTTACATTTTCAGCGGGCTCAATCGGAACTTTGACTATTTTTTTCAGATCAGCCTGGTTACTGATCTCTCCTGCAGATGTTTTAGGGCATAACGTAAACTCTGCTTCTACACCAGCCTGAAATGTTTTCTTCGCTCTTTCAAGCGTCGATCTCTTTGCGTCGGCTTTGTACTTCTCTATTGTCTCTATAAAGCCTAATTTGAAGTTCTTTCCAGGAGCTGCAGAAAATTTGATGAACGCAGTCTCATCGTGTTTTGGAATTTCAACTACACGCAGCATTTCAAATCGCTGCTTCAAAGTTCCCTTGCTCCTCATGATATCCGAGCTTGAGCTTCTTTCCGTCAGATNAGAATCACGTTGTCCTTTAAATATGAAACGCCAGATGGTAGGTTAAATACTCCAGACTTTGCTCCTTTGGAACGACCGATTTTCCTTATACAGACACCTTCGTTGTTGAATACATAAACAAGCTTGCACTCTTATCTGTCACCGTTATGTTGCCTTCTGTGTTAACAGCGATTCCAAACAACCTGTGAGGCACGTCTCTTTGAAGAAACTTTAAGTCCAACTCACCCACTACAGCAAGTTCACGTTCTTTCACCAGCACAGTTAGAAGACAGGTCGAGAGTTTTTCGTTATTGATTTTCACATCAATGATGTAGTCGCCCGGTATTTTGGGAGTAAATTTTAAGCACAGATTGCCGTACTCTTTCTCGCTAATAATCACATTTGTTACATCTTGAGCGGGTTCAGTCAGTACTTTGACTTTATTTTTCAGATCAGCCTGGTTACTGATTTCTCCTGCAGATGTTTTGGGGCATAACGTAAACTCTGCTTCCACACCAGCATGGAATGTTTTCTTCACTCTTTCAAGCGTCGATCTCTTTGCGTCGGCTTTGTACCTGTCTATTTTGTCGATAAAACCTAAATTGAAGTTCTTTTCAGGAGCTGCAGAAAATTTGATGAACGCAGTCTCGTCGTGTTTTGGAGTTTCAACTGCACGCAGCATTTTAAATCGCTTCTTCAAAGTTCCCTTGTTCCTCATGATATCCGAGCTTGAGCTTCTTTCTGTCAGATTTTTTGCATACTCAATCGCTTGTTTCATTTGTTTGACTAAAGACTGCGCTTCCTGCATAGCAGAGTTGATTTTCTCCAGTCTTGTTGAACGTGTAGTCTCGATTGAAACAATCGCCTCGCGCTCCCGTTTTCGAACTTCTGCAATCACTTGCTCAGCTGCTTGCGAGATTTCACGTTTAG